CTGTGAGTAGGAGAGGGGATACTTCTTCCCGCCCTTACTTGATCCCCTGGTGCTGGGCATAGAGGGCCCAAGGTGACTGTGTCCTCCACACCCTGCTGGGGGCCAGGGGTCTCCACTGCCATGTGGGACGCTTTTCTACTCTAAATAGAGTAGCCTGATCCGCCTGAATCCAGTGTGCTTTAGTGACGATTCCACTGTCAAAATGAGTAGCTGCCAACTTTGTGTAATTTGTGGAATTCTGAGGCGACCCTCCTGTCCCACACAACAGGAAAATACTTCCTCCACCAACTTGTCAAATGCAGGCCTTTCAGGCTTAGCAATTCACAACGATGTTACTTAACGTCTTTGAATCTTTTAGAGAGTCCAAATAGCTGCACATGAACTTGGTGTGCAGGTATGTGAACATGTTACCAGCTAGGTTGTGAGTTAAGGTGGTGAAACCTGCGAGCTCAAGGGTACAGGGTGTTGGGTCGGGAGTCAGTGAGGTGGGCTCCAGAGTCCAAGGGGACCCAGGGTTAATAGCCTCTCTCCTGCTTCCCAATCAGTTGGGGATGTGGATGAACCCAGTGACCTTCAACTGGGTAGGCCAAGGGCATGAGGTGGAAGGGAGCATAGGTCAGGGGCAGTGAACGCTAGGGTCCCTTCTAGCTGTGAGTTTTGCATCTTAAAACAAATTCTAAGTTTTCAGTGTAAGTGAAACTGCAAAGTCTGAGTGCACAGTCCCCAGAACGTCCTTACACTTGACAGTGATGGCAAACTTGGAGGATGCCCCAAACCACTCTCAGTTGGAGAATTCCCAAGAAGGATGCACAGAACTCCCTGACAGCTGGCACACTCCCAGGTCTGGATTACCACAGGGAAGGATGCAGGTTCTCGGCAGCCACAGGGCAGAGTCTGGGAGGGTTTCAAACATGAAGCTTCTCTTGTCCTCAGGACGCATTACTGTCCTGAGTTCAGGGCACATGGGTCAGTGCCATCCAGGGGTGCCCACTGTGTTTAACAAAATGCTCCTGACAGTCCTTAACGTGATAAAGCAGGGTACACTCAGGACAGTGGTGACAGGTGTGGAGCCCATTGCTGTAGAGGAGACAGACTGGGCTCAAGCCCAAATACAGCACAGACACTGGGGATTTATAGCCAAGGAGCAGAGTGAGGGGTGGTGGAGGGAAAATTACTGAGAGGAGACACCAAGGAGAGGGGATTCCTGTTTATCTTTCCTAACAGGATTCTCGCTAAAGGCAGGC